TATCAGCATTTGCGCGTAGGATGTATCATCTAAAGTCTGCAAGACATAAAATTTAAATCATTAATTAATGTCTTTGCATATAGATAAAACCTTAAATCGATTAACACCAATACTAGGGAGAGAAATGTTATTTGTAAGTAAAGCTGACATGAAAGTAGTGTAAACTTTGCAAGTTCAGCAACTGTGTGATGCCTTGGGAATTGAGGATGAGGCCTAAGGCAAGTGCATCAATGAGTGGTATCTTGCAGTAGAGTGAGGGCAACACGGCTCCTGCAAGCTTGGCAAAGAAGTTAGCTATGGCCAAAAGTTGCACAACAGTGAAGTCATAGAGATGAACTAGATCGATCTTGAACATAGCACTGGAAGAGAAGAAGAACAAGGGCAAAAGCAGTCCCGAGATCAAGGTATCTAGCCTCTCTACCAATGCTGATCCAAGAGGTGGGCCTTCTGGCACTGCTAGGCCAAGAATCAATGGTCCAATCAGGTAGTGCTCCCCAATGATTTCACTAAAGAGTGAACAGCCCAACACCATAACATAAATGGAAACTATGTAGGACTCTTTCACAGGTTCCCCTTTGGGCGTCATGCGTATCATCCATAACATGATAGGTCGACAAATACACAGGATGACAAGCAACATCAAAATCAGAGAGAGGCAACCCAATGATAAAGATAAGTCTGTGTATTTCTGCACAGAATTTGAATACAGTGTGCGTAAAATGCCTTGCCATAACGAACTGAGCGCTCCATTTATCATAGATGAAGAGATTGCTAATCGACCAACCTCGGAATTTAGGAGCTTAAAATCTTGCAATGCACTGGTAGTGGCTTGAAAGGAACCAGTTGATGAGAAAGCCGCCATAATATATAGAGACTTGTAGATTTCTAAATCCGGGGACAAATATTGCCTTAGAATATAAGCAAGACATAAGCTAAAGACGAGTGGCAATAGACAAGAACACAAGCCAATGGCCCAAGTCTTTTTCCCTGTTCTAAAAACTAAAAGTGGATCTACTTTCACTCCCATCAAGAACAAAAACATCGTCATCCCGAAAAGAGAGATTGCCTGAGTTACATAGATAGGTCTTTGGCAGAACAAGTTATTAAGGCATAAAATTCTCCCCAAAAATGTTGGTCCCGTTAGCAATCCTGCCTGAATACATGCATTTCCACAACCAAATTAAGTATTAGCTTAGTCATATCCAACTCCAATTTTTCACCACATGCATTCCTAATTCGAGTTAACCAACCTTTGTTCATGTCAACATCAGTAATACAAACGAACATTGAAAGCCAAACCTACATCTACAATTGCATCTAAAACCCAACTAAAGGCGCTTTAAGCATTCGTTATCTGATCAAAATTCTAGTTTATTTTGATAATATGCAGAATAAAGGTCAGAAACTTTACAGTTATAAATACATATGATGATATATATATATATATATATGCATTACTAGAAAATATATGTTGTATTACCAGCACTTGGGGAATGAAGGTAGTCTCCCCGAGGGGGACAAGAAGGAATTCTAAGCATGAGGTGGACAAGCAGGCTAAGCAGGCTTGTAAAGTGACCACCGTTAGCGTGTAGTTTAAAGGGTTGTCGTCGTAGAATATTCCTTTGGGATAAATTTGAAACTTTTTTGAAGGTTCACAAACCCATAAACTGGTGTTTAAGGACACGGGGTAAGCAGAGGTTCCGGCCATCGACATTTTGTAACCTAAAGAGACAGTTCCGACAAATCAACCATGATTTTCAAAAGATCATGTAATATGAGGAGAACGAAGAAGAAGGGATGAAGTCAAAATCTTCCGATATAAACTCGTTTATTTGATTTATTTGGGAGATGTAGATTATGCACCAACAACTTCTTGAGAAGTTACTATGATTATTTATTTCTAGCGGCAATGCTGAATTGCGGATTGGTGACTTAAAATTAGTTTTGTTTTGTGATTGGATGATGATATTTTTGGTTGTGAACGTGGTGTTGACATAAAACGGTACAAACATTTAATATCTCCATTTATTTAATTAAGGAAAATATTCTTTTAATAACTTTTTTTTTACCACTATGTAATAATTTATGATTGGTTCGTTGTAAAAAATTATTAAAAAAAGTTGTTAAAATATCATCATTTCGTTAATACATATTTCCTTTCGTTAATACATATTTCCACTAAAATCCAGTTACAACATTTACATACTACAAAGAGGCCTTAACTTCTCTATGTAATCACCATTTCATAGGTTTGTAAAGTGTAAGTTAGATTGGATTTATTTCTAATAGATAATCACATATATATTAGAGGATTGCTAAGAAAAATTACAAATAATATATATATATTTTTAAAAAAAGTAAATTAAACATATTGAATTTATTTTTATTGAAAATGGAACTTGTTTTGGATTGAACTTGTGGCTTGGTACAAAGCAATCAATTCAGGACTCAATTCAAATGATTAATATTGACCTATATCAACGCTATGATTCTTCAAAGAATCAACTACACAAGTCAATGGTGACTCATTTTTTGCAGTTTTGCTAAAATTAATGACTTAATATCATCACCTCTTATAAGCATTGACCTTCACCCTAGATCGTAGATAATTTGTTCTATCTTAAATTCTTATAATTGTATAATCAGTAGAAGCTTATTACTTGCTACATACAATTATTAAAAATGGTAAAGGAAACTATTTATTCATTTTACTAATTATTGTAAATTAATATGTAATTTTCTGAAGTTCTTAATCCATTCGAGAAAAGTACTTTAGGATGTTACATTTCTCACAATATAATCATATTAATGAGAAATTTAATGAGAATGCATTCTTTCTCCAAACTTCTTTTCTTAATCTATCTCTTTGTCTATATTTTCTCTTCTCACACTTCTTTGATGACTTAGTATGAAATAACCTTATAGTTAGACAGAGAAGCCTAATATTTTTTTATAAACCAATATACATCAAGTTAACTTTTATTTTATCTTTATTTTCTTTCATTATAGTTTCTTATAATAACTAATAAGTTCTTATATCTTATTAAATTATATTTAAATTCATCATAATATTTCGAATAAATCATATAAGAAAATGTTATATATTTCCAATTAGTCACGTAATATTGTGGATTAATCGCACTTCATTTATGTACCACTCTTGTATATATAGCATGAAAGTAAATAACGTGAATTAAAAAGCGTGAAAGGATGTTATATCTTTCAAATTATAACAGATAGTTAATAATAAAGTAAATTACAACGACAGAGTTATTGAGAAAGTCAAGTCAAACAACTTTAATAGCTTACACTTTCATACTTTTGTCTATTGCTTTACGGTTATATTCTATGCACACTGTATATAAGCAACATTATTTTTTTCAGTTTAATACACAGACTCTATTTTCTTCTTAATTCCCATCTTATCTTTCTCCAACAGAATTGGTATCAGAGCCAGGTTTGATTCTTTTCTATGGATTCGATTTCTTCCATCATAGCGTTCCGCCACACAGCTTCCTTCAACGCCTCAGATTCGTTTATGGGTTCTGCCCCAGCCAGCAAAGCCATGTGCACCAAATCCCCTTCATCGTCTATCTGTGCGTCTGAATAGATCTCACAATCGTCAAACCTCTGCGGTTGCACTCGCTGCCTTCTTGGTCTATCAGATTCATCACATTGAACATGATGCCTGTCCTCCGACATTGTTGTTGACTCCACTACGATAGGGTTGTCCTCACCTTCCGCCATTCTGGCTTTCACCAAGCTGATACGCTTATGATTCCAGTCCCAGCATCTGTCTTCCATGATCACCACATCTCTACTCAGGGTGACTCTCTCTTCAATTGGATCAAAGAGTTTATACGCGCCAGTGGGATGATATCCGATGAGCACCATAACTCTGCTCTTATCCTCCAACTTAGATCTCTTCTGATTTGGGACATGCATATACGCAAGTGATCCGAACACCTTCAAATACCCAACTGTCGGTCTCTCACCGCTCCACACTTCAAGTGACACTTTACCCTCTAGTTTCTTCGTGGGACACCTGTTGAGAAGGTGAACAGCTGTAGAGACTGCCTCTCCCCATAGCTTCCGTGGCAGTGATTTCTCCTTCAACATGCTTCTTGCCATGTTAAAGATTGTCCGATTCCTCCTCTCAGCAAGCCCATTATGCTGAGGAGTGTATGGGGCAGTGACCTCATGTGTAATTCCATTCAACTGACAGTGACTTTCAAAAGTCGTAGACGTGTATTCTCCTCCACCATCTGTTCTCAGTATCTTCAATAGCTGTCAGCTTTCCCTTTCAGCATGTGTCTTGAAGCGTATGAATGTTTCAAGTGCATCACTCTTCGCCTTGAGTAAGTAAACCCAAATCATTCTGCTAAATTCGTCGACAAACGTGATGAAATACCTGTTCCCAGCAACTGTAGGCACTTCAATTGGACCACAAATGTCAGAATATACAACTCCCAAGCAGGCCTTTGCTCTCATCTTCAATTCTGCTTTGAAGGGCTTTCGTGTCTGTTTCCCAGCAATGCATGTTTCACACTCTCTTCTTGGTAATGCAATCTTGGGCAAACCATGAACCATTTCTTTCACGTTGAGTTGTTGTAGGCTCTTAAAGTTCAGATGGCCAAATCTTAAGTGCCACAACCAGCTTTCCTCATCGACTTTCATAGAAACCATGCACTCAGAACTTTCAACTGCTTCTAGGCTGACTTGAAAGGTTCTGTTCTTGGAGATCTTGCATCTCAAGATCAGATTCTTATCATTATCAAAGAGTTCGACTTTGTCATTCTCCATCACTACCTTGAACCCCTTTTGGATCAATTGTCCAACACTTAGGAGATTGCACCTCATGTCTGGAACAAACAGCACACCTGTGATCACAGCATGCGATCCATTCTTCCTCCTAATCACAACATCTCCCATGCCTTCAACTCTCAAGGTACTGTCATCAGCGAACTTGACTTTACTTTTCTTCGAGTCATCAAAGTTGATCAGCCAGTCCAGATGACATGTCTATGGTTCGAGCACCCAGAATCAAGATACCACATGTCGTTTTGAGAGTGGGAGCCTTTACCTGACGTTGTCACCATCAGAGTTAGAGGTTCTGAATCTGAATTCTCTTGAGCGACATTTGCTTCCTTAGACTGATATTGCTTTTGTTTCCCTTCATCTGCATGGCACTCTGATGCAAAATGCCCGTACTTGTTACAGTTGAAACATTTTATGTTTCTTTTATCTTTTTTTGAATGATGGCTTTTCTCTTCCTTTCCACCTTTCTCCATTGACGTAGACCCATTCTCAGTCTTGTCTTTATCAAACTTCCAATTCCCCTTTGATCGTTTCCCTTTCCACTTCTTGGTTTTCTTCTTTTCATCATGCTTGAAGTGGTGCACTTTCAGCGCCTGTTCATCGTTCTTGGCTGGGTTTCTGTCAGCCATTCTCATTTCATGGGCTTCCAGCGAGCTTTGAAGCTCTTCAACCTTCATCTTTGAGAGATCCTTCGACTCTTCTATCGCAACCACAATATAGTCGAACTTCCGTGGCAGCGATCTCATGATCTTCTCAATGATCATGGTATCATTGACGACTTCCCCGCATCCTTTCATCTGATTCGTAATGGTGATTATTTTGTTGAAATATTCACCAACTCTATCGCTGTCTTCCATCTGCAGTAACTCATACTGCCTTCTGAGGGTTTGAAGCTTCACTTCTTGATCTTCTCCCCTCCTGGTGACAACGTACTAGAATGCTCCAGGCTTCTTTAGCAGTCTAGCATTTGAATCTTCTCAAAATGGTGTCATCAACGCACTGGTGAATGATGAAAAGGGCCTTGTTATCTTTCTTGATCGCGCTTTCTGGTCTCGTTGCACCAAGACAATTTCTCGGTCATCACCTTCAATAACATCACTTACTTCTTGAAACTTGAACGCACCCTCATCTGTGTGCTCCATCTCGTCCAGTTCTTATTCGTGAGTATTGGAAGATTTGCAGTGGAAAGATCACTCCCCGCCATTCTTCTTGCTTCAAGATCCAACAAACCCTACACACACTGTGTTCTTGGTTTTCTTGAGACGCAACCCTAGGCTCCCACGTAACCTTGCTCTGGATACCAAAATGGGAAGAAGAGTATTGGAGTACCTGGCAGCTTGTTGATCTCCCTGTTGGGAAGAAGAGTATTGGAGTAAAATGGGTGTTCAAACGAAAACTGAAGCCTGATGGATCGGTTTCAAAATATAAGGCCAGACTTGTGGCTAAGGGTTTTCTCCAGAGGCAGGGACTGGATTTCACTGAGGTATTTGCTCCGGTGGCACGAATGGAAACCATTCGACTAGTGATAGCAGTGGCATGTGCAATGTGTTGGTCACTGTTTCAACTAGACGTGAAGTCTGCCTTCCTGCATGGTCCGTTGGAGGAAGAGGTGTATATCCAGCAACCACCAGGATTCATTAGCAAAGGAAAGGAACATAGTGTATACAGGCTGAGGAAAGCGTTATATGGACTGAGGCAAGCCCCTAGGGCTTGGAACAAGCGCATAGACTCGTTTCTGGTGAAGCTCGACTTCACTAGATGTATTGTTGAGCATGGTGTGTACGTAAGAAGAGGCAAAGGAGAAGAATTGATTATCATCTGCCTGTATGTAGATGATCTGCTCATCACTGGATCAAACCTTACACACATAAATGAGTTGAAGAAGGTTATGCAGCTAGAATTTGAGATGACAGATCTGGGAAAACTGAGCTACTTTTTGGGCATGGAGTTCACTTATACTGAGGCGGGTATGATCTTGCATCAGAGGAAGTATGTCAAGGAGTTGCTGGAACGATTCAACATGTCTGTGTGCAACCCAACACGAAGTCCAATGGAGGTGAACCTGAAACTGGTTGATGATGAGAACGAAGCTGATTCAGAAGAGACATTGTTTAAGCAGATTGTAGGTTCACTACGTTTTTTGTGTAATAGTAGACCAGATCTCTCATACAGCGTAGGGTTGATAAGCAGATTCATGAGAAGGCCAAAGAAGACGCATATGCTTGCAGCGAAAAGACTGTTGAGATATGTCAAGGGCACTGCAGATTTTGGCATATTATTTCCATTCGGGAAGCACAACACTGATGGAGAAAGTCTAAAACTCATTGGGTTTACTGATTCAGATCATGGTGGAGACTGTGTTGAAAGGAAGAGCACATCAGGCTATTTGTTTATGCTGAATGGTTCTCCCATTTCGTGGTGTTCGAAGAAACAACCTGTGGTGGCTCTGTCCAGCTGTGAAGCAGAGTACATAGCGGGTAGCTATGCAGCTTGACAGGGGGTTTGGTTGGAAGAAATATTGAAGGAGTTGATGATTCCAGTAACAACACCTCTGGTGTTGAAGATAGACAACGTTTCTGCAATTAATCTCTCAAAAAACCCTGTGAGCCATGGTAGAAGCAAGCACATTGAGGTGAGATATCACTTTCTCAGAGATATGGTAAACAAAGGAAGAATAACCTTGACCTACTGCAACACTGAAGCCCAGCTAGCTGATATTTTTACGAAGGCAGTGAAGATTAACAGGTTTGAGTGGCTAAGAAAAGAAATTGGAGTTAGGACCAGTTGCTGTGAGTTTGTCTTGAAGGGGAGTATTGAGAAAGTCAAGTCAAACAACTTTAATAGCTTACACTTTCATACTTTTGTCTATTGCTTTACGGTTATATTCTATGCACACTGTATATAAGCAACATTATTTTTTTCAGTTTAATACACAGACTCTATTTTCTTCTTAATTCCCATCTTATCTTTCTCCAACAAGAGTATAATGTTTTAATTTCTAACAAATCAGTTTTTTTCAAGTTGTTCATCTTTGATTTTTTTTTCCTTCAACATTTACGATTATCATCCTTACAGAGTATAACATTTTAAGGATAATCACCAATTAAACCCTTAAGAATATTTTCTCTTCTGTGAGAATATCCAACACCAAGGCACATTAGTAACGAAGGATTATGATGCTACTTTTGTGTTAGTTACTCTGTTTGCAAACACATATTTCCTAAATTAGTTTATACTTACAAATTTAGTTTGAGTCAATTTCTTAAAAAAAAAAATTAGATATACATTTTCAATTTTGTTACACTCTTCTAATGCCGAATAAAAAGACAATGTTTTTTTTAAGAAATTGAAATATTTGTGTATAAAACTACATTAATTCTTGAATAATACAAATGGTTAAAGTACATTTATAGTAAAAAATAACATTTAATGAATTTCTATTAATCATGACGTACGTGTGATCTAAATTGATATAATGTTCACCACCAGTCTCGTCATCATGCCAAAAATATTATTAAAGAAAGAAAAATAACCAACTAATCTTTTCAACGGTTATTTTTAGTGTTACTAGTCATTTTAATTCCTGAAAAATGCGTTTTCCACAGTTGAAAAAACACTGAAAAAAATAGTGTTGTTAAGCATTATCGACGATTTTAGAATTTCTAGAACCGCCGTAATTTTCCAGAATTCTACACTGCAACTTTTCAGAGCTCGCAAAAACTGCTTGAATTAACCGAAGTTTTTCCAAAACGTCGAAAATACAGTGATAGTTTAAATTTTTATTTTTATTTATTAATATATCTTTTTTCCGAAAATTTAAATTGTACAAATATAGATAAAAAAATTATAAACAATTTAATGGTTTTATAAGGACTTTTTTGGTGTATTGATTATTTTTTCAAAGCAATTATTCAAATTTAAAAAAATCTAAATCTATATATAATAAAAACTCTTTAACAACAAAACATTATTTTAATATGAAACCATGAATATAAATTCTAAAACCAAAGAAAGTTACTATTATAAGGAACTTCCTTTTAGTTTTTAAAATTTTATAATGGTAGAATATACGTTACAATAACATTTTTTATTAATTATGAAATCTCTTAAGAAACTCGTTAGAAATACTCTAGTTCAAAATGAAACCATATGTTGCAAAAATGTTTGTCTGTAATTGAAACAGAATTTAAATGATAGAATATTTTGCTCTGAATGTTGATTACTTATTTGAGAAAAATTTGGAATACACTGTGATCCAACACTAAGACCAAAGATTATTAGCAGCACAGTAGTCACATCTACATTTTGAACGTGAATTCTAGTGCTCATAACAAAAAAATCAAGGAATGAAAAAAATGGACAAAGACACGAATAAAAAGCACAGATGACAGGAAAATTAAACTAGAAGATTATTTGCATTTTGTTGTTCACCCCTTTTATCTTTTACCATCTTTCTCGATCTTTTGTAAGTTTTTGAGGCATAAAGAGCGTAACCATTACAAGAGAAATTGTGGATTGAGAAAAACTTGCATCAGAAAATGCTATACCATTCACATAAAGCTCAAGTTTCATTCACTGGCATAACAGCAAAACAATTAAACTTCAAGGTATTACAGTTAATTTAAACTACAGAACATCTCCCAAATTCCATGAAAACATAAGATATGACAAAAATCAATATATAGTCAAAACATGACAACGAACAAAGCACCATAAAACCCAAAACAAATGAAACTCATTATAAACAGATGAAACTCAAAAACCCAAAACAAATGAAACTCAAAAACAGCCATAATAAAACCAGAACTATATTTAAGAGAGACAAACAAGGGAACTGATTCAAAAAATGAAATATACATGGAGACTAGCTCAGGAACTGATGAGGATAATCCCTCCCTTGTTTGGCAGCTTTAGGAAAGCACTTAAAGATACTAGCATATCAATCCATACACAACTAAAAAGATGGCAGGTGATATTTGCATCCTCAAAACTTCATACATTGCATATCAATGCAGTCACAACTAATTGTTCATTACATAAAAATCAAATAGAAAGATGTCTAATTTTCTTCATCTCCATTACATTCATTGTTTGGCACGCTTTCTTGATCAGATACCTATAATATAATATAATAGTTAGTTGGTTATATATTTTAAAAAAATCATACAAATAAATTTAGCAATTATTACCGATGGTTGAAATGTGGCAAACTTTGAAGGCAATTGACCCTCGTAATTTTGCAACATAAATGCTATCATTTCCTTCATTTCATTGACTTGTGATGTCATTTCATTAACTTGTGATGTCAATGAAGATACCTGTAACATGAAATTATTTAAAAAGAAAACAAGTTAATCATAAAAGGAACAAACCAAGTAAATGATAAAATATTCATTAACCTGAGTTTGTAATCCACTATGAGAACGAGCATTGACTCCAAAGACTTTAGATGGGCAAGGACCCAAACCTAGACCGCGAACACGTCCACAATGCTCTTGCATTCCCAAAGCATGAGCCAATGAATCTGAAGTGGATATTATTTTTGATTGAGACCATGTTATGGATTCATATGCTTCAATTTTTTCCTACATTCAACGTTTAATATAATAGTGAAATTGTCTAAATTAGAGAAAACAAGTGCACAATTCCAAAACAACAAGGCCAGACACAAATCAGTGAGATTCCTTTGTTAAGAGGAGCAAAAACACAACAAAGAAAATGAAAAATTGTATATAACTCAAATAGTTAAATGTGATTCCAGTACTTAAATAGTTAGTCTTACTCAAAGTAGAGAATTTCCTAGCAAAACATGACACTTCAGTACTTATATATATCACCAAGACCCAAACCAGCCATCGAACTAGGCTAAACTAATATACTGATATATATAACTTAGTTACTTTCAGTGCTATTCATTTCTTGGACATGCCTAAACAGCCAATTTATAATAATCCAAGAGAATATAAAATTCAAGATTATTATAAGAGGATTTATAACAAAATTCTGTCATGTGAGTTTAGAAATTATTTTCAGAAATTATTTTCATTCAAAAGCCACATCAAATAAACTGATTCAGATTTTGGACAATGTTCTTACTAGCTTTTAATCTTATCTCTACTATTCAACAGCCTCATTCAGAACACAATCTCATTCACAATTTACGTTCAGTTTCAAATTTGTTCCACTATCAGACTAAGTTCCTAC